GTTTTGTAAAAAAATATATATATTGTAAAAACTGAAATTTGACAACAAAAGAAACAAATCTTAAATTTAATATTGGATTCCATTCGGATATGACTCAAACACATCAAGTTTTCATATTCAATTTAATATTAGTAAATATTTGATAATAAAAAATATATACATAAGATCATCTGAACAAAAAATGGGGAAGCGGCTCCAATCAACCCCAAATCCCCATGTTTGCCGATATGTAAAGTGTTATTCTATTTTTGGAGTAGAATATTTGTGATATTTTTTATATTTTAGTATCTTTTAGTTGTATTGTGTACTTTTAAGTTTTTAGTAGATAATATATATAATTTTATATTTTAAAAAGTTGTATTTAATTTTATTTTTTTGAAAAATAATGTACAATTTTATTTTTTTAAAAGTGATAAATTTTATTTTTTTGGAAAGTAATATATAATTTTTTTTTTTTTAAAGAATAATGTATAATTTTATTTTTTAAAATGATATATAATTTTACTTTTTGAAAACTGATATAATTTTTATTTTTTAAAAATAATATTTAATTTTATTTTTTTAAATAATATGTAATTTTATTTTTCAAAAGTGATATATAATTTTTATTTTTTTTTGAAAGTGATAGTAATTTTATTTTTTAAATTAAGGTATAATTTTACTTTGTAAAAAGTTGTGTTTAATTTTTTATTTTAAAATTAATTATTTTATATATTTTCCAATTTTTTTTTTTATAATATGTATGTATAATTATTAAAAAACGATACGTGTGTATTTAAATTTAAATTTATTTAAATTTGAAAATAGTATATGTTATAAAATTATTTAGAAAATAAAATAAAAATACAAAAGCACGTTGCATAGGATGCAAATTACATAAAATATTACATTGATAGAATTCAACTTACATAAAACAAATTGCATAAAAAAAATTACATTGATAAAATACAATTGCATAAAATATTAAAATACACTGATTTAATACGGAGGAATATCAACATTTTCATCTCCACCAATATCACTGAAATATTGAGAAAACATATTCGAAGAAGACTGTGGATTTGATCCCTGAAATTTTTATGTAAAATTTCATCTTTCTTGAGTTGGTAATAAGCACGCTGAGTAGAATCAGAAATAACATTCAAGTCCATATTCATAATTTTTTCCTCGCGTGCCATTATCTTAAATGCTAATCTCTCGTTCTAGTTGCAAAAATTCTTGTCGGTGCAAATTTGATTTTTGCAGTATTTCCAAAACCATTGAATTTTACACTTTAACTTCACTAACATGAACATCTTCTTTATTTTTATTTTTCTTCTGTTGTTTTGCTTTTTTCACCCCCATGTGGCGCTCATATGAAGACCCACCAATATTATAATTTAAATTTAATCAACTCTCATCATCGTCTAAGTTAACAAAAAATGTTGAATTTCCAGGAGATTCAAAAACAGTGTTATCCGACGATGATGATACATGAGTAGAATTATTTTTTCGAGGTATTTTATATGGTTTTCTAGCTTCATTGTGATCATTAAATTTTTTAAAATTTTTTAACAAATTCCAAACATGATCAAATTTAAAACTTTTTTTTTTAAACTTGCATCTTCATTCATTAGTATCTCATTTGCTTGATTTAACTGCAAATAATATTTTAAGGTCACAAATAGAACTTTCAAGCTATATATAGATATATTAACAATAAATTTAAGAAATGACTTACAATATTCATCTCTGAAGCTCCACTGAGTTTTAAAGTTTTTACTTTCTTGATATAAGCAAGTAACTTTCGAATAGCTTTCTCCATGACTTGGATCCGATTTTGTACAGATCTTGCACTATGTATCTCCCAATCAAGTTTTTAAGTTTGGTTGTATGCATCAGTGATTCAATTCCAAAATTGATCCCTGGATTGCTGTCTTCCGGTAATTGGATCTTCCGAGATATTTAAATAATATTGGCATAGCAACACATCTTCATCATGACTATAACCACCACATCGGATGGACATTTTGAGAAGAAATTTTAATAAACTTTTGTTGTATTAGAAGGAGAAGTGAGTGGTTTTGGTGCAATAATTCAAAGAGTAGAAAAATATATTTATAAACAAATTTTGGATAGATATAAAATCTTATCCATTGTGAAACTTAATCTCAAACATTCATGTAGATTTCACAACACCCTAGCCATTGGATCAAAATATTTTTTTGACCAATCTCAATTATTTATACTATATTTGACTATATATATACACATTATAACAATCTACTTATCTATATCAAAAGCAATCCGAACCGTTCGTTTGGATTTCATTTACATTTCATCCGTTGGATTGGATATCTATACTATCCAATCAATTATTATATATTATAAATTCCAAAAATCTATTTATCTATGTCAGAGCAATCATGATCGTTCGTTTGGATTTCATCTTCATTTCATCCGTTGGAACTTGGATTTGATATCTATATTATCCAATCAATTATTATATATTATAAATTATAAAAATTCATCTTCATTTCATCTGTTGGATGGATGTCTATATTATCCAAATAATTCTCATATATTTATATTTTATCTAAAATTTTAATTCTATAAATTATTGGACATTCAACGAAGGTTTATTCATCAAATTTATATTCGCTTATCAAAACAATATTATTTCTTCAGCATGAGTAACTCTTCATTATCAAATGATAAAGAAGTGAGTAGAATTTTCATGGAGTCCTTTCAAGAGGATGAAGCAACAATCTCCATATTGATGCAAAATAATGCTTATTTGGAACAGTTACTCAATCCCTCTCAATCAACCTATCGAGGCTCTATCCCAGGTCATCGAGTAATTAATCGTGATCGTGAAAGTTCAGATCATAATTTATATAATGATTAATTTTCAAATAATCCTTTATATAATGAGCAAATGTTTCGTCGACGATTTCGAATGTCTCGGAGTCTGTTTCTTCTTATTGTTGATGCGGTTAAAGATCATGATCTGTATTTTCAACAACGGAGAGATGGTCTTGGTAGACTTGGCTTGTCAACCTTACAAAAGGTAACTGCTGTTTTTCGAGTGTTAACATATGGTGTACCTGTAGATTCAACTGATGAGTAAATTAAAATTGGTGAATCAACAACAATTGAAAGTGTTAAGAAATTTTGTCGTACCGTCGTTGAAATTTTTTCAATTGAATATCTTCGACATTCTAATGCTAATGATATTGCAAGGTTGCTTCATATTGGATAATCTCGTGGTTTTCCAGGTATGTTGGGCAGTTTGGATTGTATGCATTGGAAATGGAAAAATTGTTCTACGACTTTCGCAGGTCAATATGCAGGTTGTAGTGGATCACCAACTATTATTCTCGAAGCTGTGGCTGATTATGATTTTTGGATTTGACATGCATATTTTGGTATGCCAGGTGCCAATAATGACATTAATGTTTTAGAATCCTCGCACTTGTTTTCAAATTTTGCTCTAGGTATTGCTCCTCCCGCACATTATACCCTTCAAAATGAAAAATACAATATGGGGTATCATCTAGCTAATGGTATTTATCCTAAGTGGGCTACACTTGTGCAAACTATTCGTGATCCACAAGGTAAAGAAAAAAAGACTTTTTGCACATAAACAAGGGTCGTGTAGAAAAGATGTTGAGCGTGCTTTCGGAGTTCTACAATCACGTTGGCATATAATTGTTGGAGCTGTTCGATTATGATAAAAAAATGTTCTACATGATATTATCATTGCTTGCATTATTATGCATAATATGAAAATAGAAGATGAACGAGATCTCAGTGCAACTATCAGAGAAGTTTTAGAAATACCACCCCCATCTGTGGAAATGACAACCGATGAAACCATCTAACTTCATTAATTTCTTGCCCGACATAGACAAATTAGAGACAAAGATGCTCATTTTGCACTCCGTAATGATTTAATAGAGCATATATATGAGCAATATAGTAACTTCACTGAATAAGTATGTCATATTTTATTTGAACTATTATTGTAATGTATGTTTTTATAATAAATTGTTATGAAATAATAATATTACGTTATCTTTGTTTAATTATTATATCATATTTGTCTTGATAGCATTTAATTATTTATTTCAAATTATTTTATTTGTAATAGTTATTAATTATAAATGTTAATTTTCATATGTGTAATTTTTAAATAAAATATAAATTATATGTTTATGATACTAATGTAAAAATAAATTAAAGTTGGAGTGTAATTTATAAATATGAAAAGTTATATAAAATAATATAAAAGAGGAATATATAGAGAATATACTTTTTAAAGTAAAAATTGAAGTTTAGAGTCGTAGTAAAATTACTGTAAATCAACTGTATTTTTACTATAGAAAAATTGAAAAAATGGAATGGAGGGTTAAGCCTAAGTAAAATATAATATATATACATATGTATTTTTCAAAATAAACAAATTAAATTAAATTTATTAATAATGATACTTTTCAATTTTATATAAAGGAATATAATATAATTAAAACTAACATTTAAATTAAACTAAAACTACGTTTGTTTGTCCAATATTTTTTTAATACAATTTTTAACCTATATTTTTTTAAAAAAATTAATATTTAATATAAAATATTATTTTTAATATTATAAGCATATTTCTCTATAGTTCAGTTTATTCAGCGTTTTTAAATTAATTAACTTTTTATAGTTGGGAGAACAAAGTCTATATCTTACATAAAAAATTAATCAAAATAATAAAACAAACTTGCGATAGAATGACTTTTTTTTTTAATTTATGTTAAGGCAATAAATCATTTTTGTCAAGGTGGAAAAATAATAAATAATAAATATGTAAATTTTTTAATATTATAAATAAAATTTTTAATTGGAATCCAATCATATAAAATAAAAATGAATCACATCTTAAATGAATATTTATATAACATTGAAATTGAATTGAATCGAATAATTTAAAAACTATTTTGAATCGAATATAAATATCTAAAATTCTAAATGAATTGAATAGTCGAAATATTTTTACGAATCGAATTGAACACTGCAGTTTTCGATTTCATTCGAGTTCTTTACCTTAGCAGGAAAGTTCAGACAAACTATGGCAAATTAAGAAATTATTTAACAAAGAAGAGGGTAAGAATGTAATTATAAATTGTCAAGAATTAAGATAAATACTAGGTATTAACTATATATTAATATTAAGAAAAAAAAATTCCCTCTACTTAATTATATTTCTAGAAAAAAAAAAAATCCCTCTTATTAATTATATATCTACACGGCATTGCTGCATTCGGGTGGCAGGACTTTATATCGTGATTTGTCTTGGCAATACGAGTAGAACATGTGCTTTCCACGTGCCCATCCCAATCCAGCCATTTGTTGGCTCGACAGTTTTGCAAACTGTTCTCCGTCGACCGGGTCCAAGCTCGAAAGGCTATTCCTTGAACACACTGAATCTTTCGAAATACTCTTATTATTATTCATAACGCAGCCCTCCATTTCAATTCCCTTCATTGATATTGTGAAGGGAGCAAATTTATAGTCAACCGGGTACTTTCCTCCATGCGTAGCCCATTCTGAACCGTCCCAGATTGTCGCGTGAACCGACATTGCTTTCGAAGGATAAACGGCGGCAATCGCCGCGCTGTGAATCACTTGTCTTATGGGTATGTTGTCCACCAAGAACCTACAGGGTAAACTGTTTTTTATAATTTGTATCTGATCCACTTTATTTTAAGTGGATTCTGTGTGAAAATAGTTCCGTAAGTAAAAAAATTTCGCTAAAATAGTCCTCCGGTGCGGAACTCGCCACATTGGCCCGCCGTTGCTGACGTGGCGCTGACGCAACTGACATGTCATTGCCACATAGATGCCACGTCAGCAACACTTGGAATAAACTATTTTTTAGTCTGTTTCAAAATAGTCTTGCAAGTAAAAGTTTTTCGCTAAAATTGTCATCTGATGTAGCATCTACGTGGCGATGATATGTCAACCGCATCAGCGCCACCAATGGCTGTCAGCATGGCGAGTCCGGCACTGAAGGACCATTTTAGCGAAAAATTTTTACTTACTATATTATTTTCAGACAAGTTTACTTAAAGTCCTAAAATGACAAAGGATGTCAGATTCCGGACTAAAAAACAATTTTATCCTAGTATATAATTAATTAAAACAAACTCAAATTGAATGAATGAATTAATTTGTTAATTGTATTGATTGCTTACACAATGTGATGATTGTTCCACAGGATGCTGTAGTCGTGGAAGCTTTGAGTGGGATCGAACCAGAGGTAGAACTTCTCTTCTCTCCCAGTTCTTACACTTCCATTGCCATATATGTTTGTCTGCAGCACCCAATCCCTTCTCTTTTCGTGCCCCAGCAGCTCGATGTCGATCTCGTCGTGGTTGTGAGGGAAAACATCAGCATTTGATAACTGAAACGAAATGTTTTCAAGTTTTGAATTAGAATTGACGACACCAATGCAGGAATGACATTATCCTAATTGATTAATTTTCCATTAGGACAAGATTTATACATAATATGCCACGACTACTCCTGATGTGAAGCCCGCGGGCAGCTTAATGGCTGCATTGAAGAATCCATAGTAGTATTTGTTCTTCGACACCAATCCTGACCCTGAAAAATAACAATAATAATGTACAAAACAAAAAAAATTAAAAATTATTTGTTAAACTATGATTCAAAATGAAGGGAAACAATACAATGCAATATACAATCTTCCGATATGATATAACATGATATGATATGATATGATCAGAGTATGTATGTACGTACCGGAGGTTTTGTCTAAACTTAGATCAGCACCGGATCCGTTATTAGTGAGACGAACATTGGGGGCTCCGAAGGAGACGGTGTAGCCCTGGTTGGTCTGTATTCTGCTGAAATGATCAGTTAAGCGTTCGACTTCCGGTGGCGTATAAATAGGGCCACGAGAATGAACTTCTTCTAAGCTGCACAGAATGAGGAGGAGCCCCACTATGGAGGCCTTCTTGATCTTGAATATATTTTCCATGGATGAATGAATGTAAGAGACTTTAGGGAAATTGAGGAGGTATGTATATATATATAAAGTTAACAGGCAAGGGGTACAAGGGATCCTTAAGATATTATTCTTTTTTTGTTTTTTCTTTTAGGAATCCTTAAATTAGTGCTTAGTTGTTGCAAGCTGTGAGTGTGTCCAAGAATAACATCTTATTTGTGACAATATAATGAATCCTTGGACAATAATCCCTAAGATATGTTCATGTGCATTGAACAGGACATGTTTCGACAGCCAAATTAGCAAGTGCATAATTTGTCCTCAAGGGGACAATAAGACTCATTGTTGAGGGTACAAATTCAAATTCCACATCAAAAGATTTGAAGAAAATTTAACATTTTAGAAGTCTCATATAAACTTTACTGGTACGAAACCTTTTGAAAAAAGTACAAAAACAAATTCGTACAAGCTCAATGCGTTTCAACATTCATAACTGTCCTAAGAGTATTAGCACATTAGATATAAATTTGCAGCATGCATATAAAATAGAATTATCAAGATATATTAATATTATTGACGTGTGTTATATTTTTATTTACCGATTGAGACCATTAATATGATGTTGATAAATTTTCAACTATTAAGACCTAATCGAAGCGTTCTTTGATAGGATAATATAATTATGGATTCATCTATTAAATCACTAATTAGCTAATATATTTAGATGTTCTGTTGGATTAAGTTTGAAGTCGGAATTGAAGCATTGTTGGTTTTATTTTTATTTTTATTTTTATTTATATATGTGTGAAGAAAAGAAAAGTTGTAAGAAAAGTCCTAGAAGGACCAATAAAATGAGACATTCATTATTGGGTCATAAACTCCAACAGCTGTGATTTGGTAAGAATGTGGGACAATGGAAGCAAGTGGGAAGTGGGCCTATAAATATTATATGTCTATGTTCTAATAATACTCGTCAGTCAGTCGATCAATATATTAGGAATATATGTACGACGCGTTTACAACCATTTTTAGTTTCTTAGCCACACATAAATGAGTTTTGATTTATAGTATTATTATTGTTATTTTTAATGTCAAAATTAGAAGTGTTTGTTCTAATTATTGAATCTTGTCCAAGACCTAGGATCCTCCTTTTTTACTATTTTCCATGGGGTAGTTGAACGTAATAATTAGAGTTGAAAATGAATAGGAATAAGTCTGAACTAGCTATAACTGTAGACCACTAAAAAAAAATAAAAATAAAAAAATAAGTATATTTGTAACGGAATTTTGTCGTTAAAATTCACGTAGCTAATGTAATTCCATCCAAAAAATTTCGTTACAAAAATGATATTTTATTGTAGTGGACACTGTTGATTTGGTGTGTATTATGGAGAAAGATATTAGTTTAAACCACTTTTGCAGGACCTGTTTAATCAAATTTGTCGACTATTAGAGACTGACCAAACCCATCATTTATATACATATTTTTGTAGGTTATGGAACAATTAAATTACACAAAACTAAAAATAATAGTTTTTGGACTATTTATGTTACAATGTTGGGATACTAAAACTAAAAATAATAGTTTTTAATCTAAAAAAATATTAAAAAAAATTATTAAAGAATTAATTAAAAAAAATAAGGTAAGTAGAAATATTATGTAAAAAATATTATGACGCTTCTCCCTCGTCATTCCAAATCCAAAGATACAACTTTAAAATTTTACCATTAATAGTATATTTCAACTCCTTTGCATTCGGATGCATCGACCTGTATGTGCCGCGGGGTAACTTGACTTTGTCAGTAGCCGATGTTCGACAAGATTTTGAGTTAAATCGGGCATTTCATGGTAATCCCATGCAAGATAGTCCCAAAACTAGAAGTGAGAAAAATAAGCATGGCCCGAAAGTCCAATTCGAGTATGGCACGAAAAAATCGTACTTGGGCCTCTAAAATCAGGCTAGATAATTTTCGGGCCGTGCTTGGCCCGGAACGCTAATGAACCGGGGCCGTGCCCGGGTTCATGAAGTTCGGGCCGTGCCTGGCCCAACACAATTTTTAAAATTAATATTTAAGTTTTAATAAATTTATATATATATATTAATGTTTGAAATAAAAACAAAAATCATAATATAATGGTAAAGGTTTTAGTTGGTATATGTTTGATTGTTGGTTCAATCCTTCACTTGAAATTAATTCAAAAATAAGCAAAATAATATAAAAAAGAAATTTGTTTCAGCCGCCCTTTTCTGGCCCAACACGACTTGGAATCGAATCGGGCCGGCCCGAATTGCCACCCCTACCCAAAACTCCTTATTTAACTCGATAAGACAATCTCTGCATGCATGCGAGGTCTACCAAGGCACTAATCCGAATAGTCTTAAGACTCGCCGCTCTCCCTAAATTAATTTTGTCCCAATGTGGATTTATGCTTCATCTCTAAGTGATGCGGGCAAGTCAATTCAAGAGTTGGCTTTGTGCGCATTACCGGTAAGATCCATAGTTTATGTTTCTGCAGGGATTAGTCCGTTGCAACTCTTTCCGCCTTACACAAAGTTGGTGTGCCATTATATCATCTAATGTAATAAATATTTTAAATGGCGTGTTTTGCGACTTCCGAAAAATCATGTATTCAGGAGCAGCAGCTTCAATAGGGTTCTCGTCTGTTACCCACACTACGGGCATATCATCATCCACCAATATACCTCTTTGTAATGATTGGGACTGATCGTAAGGGGCAATGACCTCGGCGGGCAAAAATTCAATCTTATTTACCTCAAAATCACCTTAAAACTATAGTGTGAATTAAGATCATGGTCAGAAAAAATATTGTCCATATTTGTTTCAGAAAAATTATCCTCATCAAGGACATCAATCCTCAGTTCTTCCTTGGCATCTCTAAATTGGGCGTGATCATCGGTGTTTTTTCTTTATCTTTGTCCAACATAACTTGCGAAATGCTCGCTTCAGCTTGGTTCTTTGACCTCCATTGCCTACGATCATTCAAGAGTAAACGAAGATTAATAGAAGTTATTTTCACGTGAACAAGCTGGGAATTGACATCACACGTAACTATTCGCGCGGTGCTGCCCTGCTGTTTCGGTCTCTATTCTTTTCAGTTATTTAATCAATCGCGAAGATCCATGGATGGGATGGCATGCTCGGGGACTGTTTTGGCCACATATCCAGTCCATATTTCGATTAAATGCTGCCAAAGGTCCTCTTGCGACACCTTCATTGGAACAAAAACCGCGAGCACTTCGTTTGACTTTTGTTCCGGGTTTTGCTCGTTAACCAACCTTTTAGGCCGACGTTGTCAGAACCTTTTTGGGATTGGGAAATCTGTTGGAATTTTTCGGGAGCTCGATTAATAGCCCAATCCCCATTTGTAGGAGCTTTTTCAGTCTGTCGAGTCAGATGATGAGTAATTAACACTTGATCTACCAATGAAACTCTTCAAAACCATAACAAAGTATGATGCAAAATTTTCAAATAAATGAATTATAAATATTTGTCTTTTTTTTTTCTTCTTCTTGTCTTCTTCTTTTTTTCTTCTTTCTCAATTTATTCTTACATACACAAAAGTTCTAAAATTAAAATAACTTTTAGGGAAAAAATTAATTATGATACAATATAAAAAATTATCAATTTTTGTTTCATTATGAATAATTTCAATCAATTTTCGTCTTGCTATTAAAAAATTAACGAAAATTGCTGATATGGACGTAATGAAATTGACATGACCGCTGATCCGAAAATTACACCACCGTGTGTTGTCACGCGGCCTTACAATTATATACGCTAGTGTAGTCACACGATCGTGTATCTTTCTATACTTTATTTGGCTGTGATTTGACATTTATTTAAATTTTTATTTAAATAATATTTTAATATAATAATTTTAAAAAAAATAAAAGATTTTTTATTAAAAATCTTATGGTTAATTAATAGTATAAATTTGTATTTAAAATCATAATCAAACAAACTTATCTAAACTAATTAAATATAATGATTTCATAAATCATCCAAATCAATTAAAATATTAAAAATAAAGTTCAAATTTTTGTGGCGACAGAATTCAAAATAGTTTTGTCAATTATATATATATATATATATATATATATAATATCATACTACTCTATGATATGATTTGTGTATCTTTTGGTAATATATGATTAACGAACCCATTGTTTGTTACATTATTTTGACTAAGAAAATATATATTTTTTATTTTATATATATATTAAAAAATTAAGTATAATACAAAATTTTTATTTTCAATAAGATTACAATTAAAAGATTATATTGTAAATTTTAACTCGATCTATATCTTTCTCAAAGTATCTATATCTTCTGCAAGGTATCTGTATTTATTTCTTGATGATATTGTTAATGAATTCTCTATAAAATACTCATGTCACTCTCATAACATAACATTAGGAAAAAGACAGCCTCTATTTCTTTCCTTGTTTCACATCAGAGTATTCAGGTGACTTTCCGTTTAGCTGCAATTTTTTTTTTTTTTTTGTTTTTCTGAGATGCTGGAAGAAAGAGTAAATCTGTTTATTTTGATATTTTCTTTTTACTTTTTATATATTCGGTTTTAAATTTTCTTGAAATTTTTAGATGCAACAATGTTTCAAATTCAATTTTTTGTAGATTATACTGTAAAAGTACAAGTGTAAAACATATTGTGATTACTTATTGTATGTTTTCTGAAAATTATTTTAGTTTGCATTGAGGTTTCGAGAGTGTTGTATAATTTATTTTATTTTATTTTATTTTTCTCTTGTTAGTTCTGTAGAATCTGTAAGTTTGTTTTGGTTATGTTGTAGGAAGTTAGGTTGTGAGATTTTTTGGAGTGCAGAATGGGCGGCGTTTGTTCGTGTTTTCATGTCCCGCCAGATAATGCTCCACGGAATACTCCCAACCCAGACGATTGTTCTTGTCCCACTTGCTTTATCCAAAGGCTTGTCAATGGGGTAAGGCCTATCTATTCTAATTTATTTAATATTTGTTAAATTTAAATCACATCGGTTGTTCCAATCAACCCTATTTATCTGAACCTTTAACTGTCAGAAACTGAAATTCTCTATTTTAATAATAAGAATGAGTACATATACAAATTTGTATAAGACAAGAATTATTCGAATATCTTAAATATAATATATTGCTTCTAAATATATTTTAACACCTCTACTCAAACTTAAGATATGAACGAACAAACTTGATTTTGTTAGAAATGACCGAAAAAGATATAGCCAAGATCTTCCACCTACGAATTTGAATTCGTCAGGATTAACTGAAAGTGGTGTAGTCGTCCACTGGATCAGAGTCAGAAGCGGAATTCTCAAAATCGTTAGAGTTGAAAACATGACCCATCGCTCACAACAGAGCTAGAGTCGAAAACAGGACTCTCTCGCTCTCAATAAAGTTAGAGTCGAAAACAGAACTCTTAACGGTGTTAGAGTCGAAAGTAGACTCTGATCATTGGAGTAGTAGAGACGGAGACGACATGAAAATAACAGCATGATCTTGGATAGAAGCAAATACATTAATAAAATATAAAAAATATGTACAAGATATAACCGGTTATGGAGGTACTCATACCATATTAGAATATGAAATTGAAATTCTCTATTTCAATCATAAGAATACGTACATATTTATAGTGACATACAAATCGTATAAGGCAAGAATCATATGAATCTCTTAAATATAATAATTACCGTAAATATAATATAGGGTAAACTGTTTTTTAGTCCCGTAACTGGACCCCCTTATCATTTTAATTCCGTAAGTAGAGCCTGTTGCAAACTAATCCCATAAGTGAAAAATTTTCGCTGTTTTAGTCCTCCGGTGCCGGACACGCCCGCGTGGCTCGCCGGAGGTGACGTGTCCGCCAGGTGTCGCTGACCTGGCGGATACGTGGATTTTTTAATTTTTTTAATTTTTTTTTTTAAAACTTATTTTTAATTTTATTTGTATTTTTTTATTTTTTTTATTTGATCCAATTAAAAAAAAAAATTTAAAATAATAATAAAATAAAATTAATAAATCCACGTGTCCGCCAGGTGTCGCTGACCTGGCGGACACGTCACCTCCGGCGAGCCACGCGGGTGTCTCCGGCGTCAGAGGATTAAAACAGCAAAAAATTTTCACTTATGGGACTAGTTTGCGACAGACTCCACTTACGGGACTAAAATAATAAAAGGGTTCGATTACGGGACTAAAAAAATAATTTACCCTATAATATATTGTTTCTAATTATATTTTATCAATTATTATTGCCTCTGAAGAATTTGAGCTTCAATCGGGTTGTAGGTTTTGCCGTTGAGATATATATATATATATATATATTTTAGTTTATAATTTAAATTAAATTTAATGTCTAGAGTTAAGTCATTATTTGTCTGTATCCATAAAGTAAGTTGTTATACGGTGAAGTTTTGCTAGGTACTCATTTCACCATTGATAATATGGACAGCTTTGTTAGTTTGCATTGCTGGGCTGCTTGTTTGTAGCAGTACTCTTTCGATTATTTTTTTTTTCTTTTTTAATTTAGTTCTAATAATTTTTTATTTTTTATTTTTGTTGAAATTGATTTCGACAGCATGTTAAGCTATTCAGGAGTGGACAAGTTCGTGTGGTGAGTTTGAACAGTAGTGTCCAAGGATCTTTGCCCTATGCAGGAAATTACTTCTCATCTGATGACGACGACAAAGAAGAAGAAGAAGAAGGATATTCATACGAGGTAGTTTATCCAAGACAGGCGGATAAAGGAATTGGGTCGAATCCTGCAGAACGTATTTTATTAAGAGATGAAAAGTTTGGTGATATTCCCGACATGCCTTGAGCTTGAACTAATCAAATTAGCACGTTATATATTCTTTTTGTCGATAGTTATTATTATTATTATTTTTTTATCGGAATATAGGAGATTAGTTAGGAATACAATTCTAATCTTTCATCTTCTAAGTTGTAACTGTGTTCCTATAAATTTTGTTTAGTTTTTGTCTCTTATCTTTGGTGCTGCTGCTCTTCTTATACTTCTTTCTTGTGTATACATACATTTACATGTATATGGGGTTTATCGGGTTTTTTTTAGTCTCTTCGCTAAATTTATTCCATTAGTAATTTTGGTAAAGTCAACAAATTTAACATTTATCTATTATCCATAATTCAACATTTATTAATACCAAATGTCACTGCCTTCTTTACATTCTATTTCATTATTATTATTTTTTAGATTTCAGCTAAATTTTCAAAAATAATCTCAATTGCCTTTTAACTTTTATCATTTTTCAATAAAATATATATAGTATTATTAATCTATCTGCCAAAACCAAATGTTCTAAATTTACGGGACGGATGAAGTAATATATGTGTACAACTAACCAAATTTTTTATACTCCCTCCGTTTGGGTAGTTAAAAACAATGTAAAAATAATTTTGTCATTACATTTTAATTGTACTGAATAGTTAAAAATATTATCAAAATAATTTTTTTCATTGTTTTTTTTTGTGTGTAAATATAATAATGTAATGGTAAAGTCCGTGTATTTGTACACTTTTAAAGATTATATTTATTTTTGGACATTTGTTTTTTATATGAATTACAAAATATTGGTATTGATGGATACTCCCTCCATCCCAAACATTACAACATTTCTTTCTTTTTTCTTTTTTATCTATCCTAAACATTTTACAATATTTCTAAAATAGAAAATAATTAAATACTATTTAATCTCTACCATACTTTATTATATCACATTATTATACAAATTTATCTCTCTATAGTATTACTCAGTTCTCAAATTATCATATTTAATACTATCCACCTATATTCTCGTATCAAAAATAAATATTACACCATATTTGGAAGAGAGAGAATAATATTTAATTGTGTAAAGACAAATATACTTTTACAAATAGAGGTAAAAAAAATGATACCATTGTAAATAAATCAAAAAATAAAAATATTTGTAATTGATAATAGGTGCATATTTACTAAAAAAATGTAAAATAAAATAGAAATATATATAAAGTTTAGGTGGACTAGAATCGGAATACATATATTCACCTAATGTATATACTAAATACTCATTATCTCCGTTAAATTTATTCTTACTTTTTTTTTTGTCCGTCCGTTAAAATTTACCCTAATACTTATATTTGAAAAAGTTAAAAAGTCAATATTTAATTATTATATTTCATTCAACACTTATTTACAATAAATATCACTAACTTTATTACACACTTTCTTAAATTGTCTTTAATTTTTAATTAAATTTTCAAAAATACCATTAACTACGTTCTTATTTTTGTTTACTTTTTCAATAAAATATATATATTTTTTTTTAATCCTGCATGCTGAATCAAATAGGCCAAGCCAAATTTTCCGAACTGATGAAATATTTATTAAAAAATAAATTAATAATTCAATATAAAATATTATTTTTAAAATAATATTAAAAAAAAAAAAAAATTCTGCCATACTGAACCGAAACTGTCGGTTTGAATCTTAAATTGTGGCTGTCGAATTAAACTTTATCTGATATATAAATAGTTGGTTTCAAATATTTTTTTCTTAAAAAGTTCCGCTCAAACTTACGGTTGGATCCGCTCATTCTCAAACCAACTGTTCAACTTCAAAGCTTTGAGCATTTGAAACTAAATAATAAAAATATTTTAAAAATTTATATAAAAAAATAAATAGATGCATTGATTAGAATTATATATATTTTAATTTAAATAATTGAACAACCTGGCATTGCGTGGACTGTGCATGGATGGAATACCAGGTAGAAAGATAATGTCCGTTGACAAATTAATGGCTTATTTGTATTGTATTGTATGGGCATGCATACGCTACGCTGAGCTTCTTTCGTCGTTAATAATTCAAAACCCTAATGTCGGCTGCCCTAAATGTCTGCCCATTACTGTCGCACCACGTTTTGCTGTCTGATTGGCCTTAGCACTTTCCCATGAAGCCTCCACTCCCCACGTGTCATTCCGCACGACCCTTAGATTGATTAAATCTACGTCAACGCATCACAGGGCGCCACGTGTCCTTCGATGAATAACTACGATTTCCATATCCAAATCCATATATAGCCCACTTCCATAACGAGAATCGATAGTTCAATTTTCCAGTAACCAACAAAAAGCTGCAATCTTCAAAAAGTTTTTGTTTGTAATTTCTACAGTTTCTTGGATTCTGATCTTTTCGATTCAATGATAAATAAATCCAATGGCTTCGTCCGCCGGATTCTGAACTTTCCGGCGATTCGTCCTTGCGACTCCGTCGCTGTCTCCACTCTCCTTGCTTCTCTGATCGATTTAGGTCGCAGAATCCGAGGCTTCAAATCGAGATTCTTTTTCACGAACAAGACGAACGCGAGAAATTCGATCCGTTTGATCGAAGCCCTTGTTGTCGTTCTGGAGGAGGTGCGAATTGGGGATTTAGGGTTTGAAGCATCCCTGTCTCTCTGCTTGTCCGAGCTTCATTTCATCTTGCAGAAGATTGAATTTCTTCTGGAAGATTGCTCGCGAGACGACGCCCGGCTATGGATGCTGCTGAAATCGGAAAAAGTCTCCACACAATTCCGCGTGCTGATGAGAGCTGTCGCAGTCGCTTTGGAGGTTGTACCTTTGGCTGGGCTCGACATTGGAGACGAAGCTGCAGATTTGGTGGAGTTCGTGAGGAATCAGGCTCTGAAATTGGAATTCCAAGTGGAGGAAGACGACAGAAGAGCCATGGTTAGGGTTCTTGAGATTGTGAATCAATTTGAAGGTGGAATTGCTCCAGAATCGAATGATATAACAGGCGTTTTGAATCATTTGGGGATTAGAAGGTGGAGTGAGTGCAATAAAGAAGTGAAGTTCTTGGAAGGTGAAATAGGGCAAGAATGTTCCTCCATTCCTGAGGGAAGGGAGTTTGGATTTCTTAACAATCTGTTGACATTCATGATCTACTGCAGATGCACTCTCTTTGGAGATGTCGATACTTCAAGCACCAGAGATTTACATCAATCTGGAAGAGGATCTGGAAATTATAATGAGACATTTACTAGTTTGGATACTGATGATTTCAGGTGTCCTATAACTCTGGAAGTCATGGCTGATCCTGTAACAATTTCGACAGGCCACACTTACGACAGGGCTTCGATCTTACAATGGTTCGGGTCAGGCAACCACACCTGTCCCAAAACAGGGGAGAGGCTAATGTGCATCGACCTGGTTCCAAACCATTCATTGAAGCAGATAATCACTCGATTCCAGATTGAAAATGGAGTCCTCCTCCAAGATTCCGAATCTGGCGCGCAGAAGCATGGTTGCGCTTCAATAAAAATGCCGACTGGTTTGGGCAGTGTGGCGGCCGAGCAGGCCATGGAGTTGCTGGCGGCATTTCTTGTCCAAAGGCTTGTGGTTGGAACAATTGAAGAGCAGAAAAAGGCGTCATATGAGATTCGGCTTCTGACCAAAACAAGCATTTTTAACAGGTCTTGTATGGCAGAAGCCGGCGCAGTTCCACCACTCCTGAATCTGGTTTGTTCAGACAATCCGGAAGCACAGGACAACGCAATGGCGGCATTGCTGAATCTCTCAAAGAACCATAAATGCAAGGCTACAATTGTTCAAAATCGAGGTTTGGAACTAATTGTCGATGTCTTAACCTCCGGGCTAAAGGCCGATGCCCGCCAGCATGCTGCCGGCGCATTGTTCTACCTTACTTCAACACGCGAGTATCAGAGAACAGTCGGGAGAATCCCGGGCGCCATTCCCGGGCTTATGAAGCTAATCCAGGACAGCCCCGAATGTGGTAAGAAAAATGCATTGGTCACTACTTTGAGTCTCCTCATGTGCCCTGAGAACCAGTGGAGGATGTTATCAGCTGGATTAGTTCCTTCAGTCCTCACAATCTTGACAACATCCGAAAGGGAAAATCTTACAGCACATTCCCTGGCAATATTAGCGACACTAGGCGAAAACCTCGATGGAGCAATGGCCATTGTCAGCGCAGGAGCTTTGCCCTTAATAGTCGACATTCTGAGCTCTTCTACCTCAACAGCTGCAAGAGAATTCAGTGTATCATTGCTGCTGGCTCTGTGCATCAACGACGGCGCAGATGTGGTTCCCATTTTAGTAAAGAGCCCATCTGTAATGGCGTCTCTGTATTCTTTGATCACAAGCGGCACGGTTAGATCGACCAAGAAAGCCAGTTCCCTCATTAGGATTCTGCACGCCTTCAACGAAAAGGGATCGTCCAGATCGACGGCTTCGACTCAGGAGCAGTTCGTGCACGTGTGGTAATCGAACATTTTTTAACTGTTGCCACACTTTTGCAAGGATCTACAGCCATGGATGCTTTTGCTTCATTCTTTATATAACTATGTTAGTATTGAGAATGGTGATAGGCTCAACTTGTTTTTTGCTTGTGAGCCTGTCTCTAAGGTTGCTTCTCTGTTTTTTTTGATGAGGCAGCCATGTACATTACAGGTCATGTATTTAAGTGATTCTTTTCAAGCTGTAATATATAGTTCATATACAAATACGAGATTCTTGTGTACTTTAAACAGACAGCACAGAACAGGATGCAAAGCATAAATAGTTTGAAAAACAGACCGGTACAAACATGTATATATATATATATATTCTAGTTACAAATATCATTACATGGCTCCCTGTGATGAAATGGGTTCTTGGCATCTATTTGCTTCGACTCCCAGTTTTTGTTAGCTGCAGCCTGCAGAATAATTGGAAGTGTTTGAATTTTTTGGCCCAATCCATGACTCGTGATCCGAACCCAACTCGCAAGCTATCCTGATATGATCCGAAACTCAACCCACACGAAATATAATCCTCCTATCTATTAGTATAAAATTACTAATAAAATTTTGTTTGATGTATCGGGGCTTCGCAAAATATTCAGACAAAAGTAGATGAAGAAAAAGGAAGGGACACTCGGTCACTTTTAGATCTGTAGACAGATCAGACAATCAATCAGCTGTTTGCAAGACTGCAACCTGTTCGAGTTCATCGTTCAATGTCTGATATTTTGGTCATTGAAAAAGCTTTAAGGTGAGACAAAATATATATCTCATTGTCCTACTACATACAAAGTCAAAAAGAGCTTTGTCCCACGAGCTTGCATGCAAATAAGAGGTCAACATTGAAGGAAGAAAAAGTCTATCACTTTCATTACCAAGAAATGTATTATTTGATTATCATCTCTTCCTATGACATTTATGAGGATATAGACATATCAAATTTCGTCCCTTATGGTCATATACATGTCTTTGAATATGTCCAAATTTGTTTGACCCATTAAAAGATTGTTGTGTCAATTTTTTATTGGCCAAAGGAAGGGTTCCATATTTTATATATACATATTTCCTAGGTTTGTTTTTCTTTAATCTTTTCATCATTCATTGGGAGAGAAACTAGGAGTGAGTTTTGTGAGCTTAAAGCTAGAAATTTAGAGAATGGAATTGTGCAATGCTTCTAATTTTTTTTTGTTTGATGCTCGCATACTTTTTCCTTGGATCAAGTGTTGCTTTAGTAACTCTTTTGGAGCTCTCGTACACACTTCAACTTGACCTGTAACATGCGCTATATATTGTTTCATCCTAGTAATCCCACCGTGAATAATTTTTCCACAATAATTGCATTTTGCTTGCTTTCTATATCGTTGTTTATAGGAGTAGCATGATCCCAACCAATATCTTTATGTGGTGTCATTTTACAATTGAATAATAAAATTGTTAAAATATTTATAAGTAGTAATTTATTAGTTAATTGGACAAATTATACATATTATTTTATTGATAAATCAAATTTATACAAAAATTTAACTTAAATAACTAATTTGTAAAACTTAGACTTATAATGTATATTTATTAAATTATATATATATATAAAAAAGTTAATTTCAATAAAACTTACTTTATATAGATTAAATAAAATTAAATATAATCCAAAATAATTGAACCTATCAATTAAATAAATAAATCAATCAAAATAATTCAACATTAATTTCAATCCAAAAATTAAGGAACAAAATTAATTTTAAACTGTATTTAAAAAAATTTAAATTAATTAACGTAATAATATATATAATTACCACACGTCTTTCTTCCACTGAATCTCCGGTTCTTCCTCGCCGAAGCTAACTTTTTTTCTACACAATACCAACAATTTTTCTTCAATAGGCAAAATTTTTTCTCAAATCCTTCTACCACATAGACGATTGCTAAAACCCACATTCCCAAAACTATAGATACCCAGAACTTACCTTGTCCACCACCAGGAACTGAGAGCAGAAACCAACGTATTTTTCGTCACAGCCAGGAAGGAGAAGCCAGCGACAGAGAGAAGAGAGAAAGTAGGAGCATATTTTTCGTTACCGCCGGGAAGAAGAAGCCATCTACAGAGAGAAGAGATAAAGTAGGTAAAGGAATTAATAAGAATGAGTTTTGGATAAGATTTGTGTGTATTTGAAAACCCTATGACAAATATCGGATTTTTCGGTTGAACCGGAACAGTCCTGACCGTTCCGGTTCCGAATCGGCCGAGTCGGACCGGACTCGGCCGATCTGGCGAACCATGATAGTGGTATTAGCAAAATTACTTTAGAGAACAAAGATAATTGGCACCATTCATAACGATGGCTTTAAATTTTCAGCAGAAAACTTCTAATAAGGAAACAACATCAATAATTATTTCATCAACAACCAATTCTCTTATGGAACAAATATGTAATTCAGTTAAGTCATGTCTGAAAATGCACATAAAATAATTTGAATCAAATCAGCTGGAGATTCTTCAAAAACCTTATAAAGGTAGTAGTAGCACAGCTGGTTGAAACCAACTGATCAATAAAAGACGATTCACAAACACCAAAGCAAATATAGCTCAGCTCAAATCAAACGTTCCAAAATCCGCATACTAACACATTCTATGAACTAGAGAGCATTGAAAACCAAATTAGATCGAATTTTCATAAGAATAAGTTACGCGCTCATGCCTAAATACACATAAGCTAGATAAAATTAAAACCACCTCCACCAAAACAACAAAAACAACCAACCATAATATGAACAATTTTCTTTGTAGCTTCACTTTCTTCTCGTTCACTTTCATCTTCATTTCTTTATTCAATAGTTCACTTCCTTCTTTGACGACAACGATAGGAAGGGCCGGACGCTCGGTCGGGCGAAACTTTGGGGAAAACTTTGGTTGCGGGAATTTTATAGAAAGAGAAAAAATACTGTTGAAGCGCATCGGCCGCACCGATGGCAGCGGTGGCTGTAGCGTCGGCAGCAATGGCAGTGGTGGTTGTAGCGTCGGCAACGAGCAACTAGAGAGGGAGGGTAAATTTGGAGAGAGTTTAGGTGTGCACTCACGCGACGGGATGGAATGAACCAGATCTGTATTTGAGTGTAAATTATGATTTAAAAAGACAGAATAAAAAATTCTACAGTAGAAAATACAAAACACACCTGCTGATTTCGGCAGAGATCGTTGGCAACGGTGGCGGGGAGCAGCTAGGGTGGACGAAAATTTTGGGGAAGATTTGGTTGCAAGAAATTTTACAAAAGAAAAGGAATAATAAAACGAACCTGCTGATTTCGGTGTCGTCAGCAGCGGCGAGCAACTAGGGCCAACGAAAATTTTGGAAAAGATTTGGTTGCGAGAAATTTTACAAAAGAAGAGGAAGAATAAAACAAACCTACTAATTTCGGTGTCGTCAGCAACAGTGGCGGTGGCGGCATTGACGGTAACAACCATATTGCTATTTGTTAGACTGATTAGATTGAATAGAGGTTGGACCGATGATCCGATCACTTCTTTCTTGACGTGCCATAGGCATGTTCTCTCATAGAGTGAATAGACACCGTATGAAAATAGTCACATAGTAAAAAAATTCCGCTAAAATGATCCTCCAACACATCACTAACAAGACGATTATATATCAGCCGCGTCAGCACCATGTCGACGGACGAATATAACGAATCTGACACCAAAAAACCATTTTAATAAAAAAAATTTACTTTCTAAAATTATTTTCAAACATGGTCAATTTAAAATGCTATAAACGATCAAATAAAAAAAATTACCTTAATAATAATAATAATAATAATAATAATAATAATATAAATAAAAATAAATCTCCAGCTTAAGTAAATAGGCTCCAAAAAGCCCTAGTTTGGAGCAGCCCTGTTCATTAAAGATTGTGGAAGGCTCGGATTTGTAACAATTGAATTATATCCGTCGGCCTGAATTAAAAAAACATATAAATAATATATGGGTAAACTGTTTTTTAGTAGCCCTTATCATTTAAGTTGAGTCATAAAAAATAAATAAAAAAGTCCACGTGTCCGCCAGTTATCGCTGACCTGGCGGACACGTCACCTCCGGCGAGCCACGCGGGCGTCTCTGGCGCCGAAGGACTAAAACAGGGAAAATTTTTCACTTATGGGACTAGTTTGCGACATGCTCCACTTAAGGCTCCACTTACGGAACTAAAATGACAAGGGCTCCAGTTACGGGACTAAAAAAACAGTTTACCCATAATATATTAATAAGTTTTTAAATTTTTATTCTAAAATCCCAATATCTAATTCTTCAATCAATCACCTTTGTCCAAACTTCAAATATGCACCATCTATCCTTGTCTTTGTAATTCTGTCCATTATTCGCTCTATTGTTGTCTTCTTATCACTCCATTGTCTCTGGTCGTTTTCTTTCGTTATACATTTCATTTTTATTTTTTAAAAAATAAATCTTTCAAATAATCTGAAAAAAATTAAAACACACCTCTTTATCTTATAATTTTTGTTATATTTTCTTTTCACACAATTTCTTTGAGTAATATAGTTTTAATAGGCTTCTTTTTTTTTTTCTTTTTTTTTTTTTTTTTTTTGACCATTTTTGCTTCAATTTTAGTTTGGAATGAACTTGTAATTATCTGTTGTTTAGTCTTACTTGGACTTTGACTTTGGATTCCAGTTTGAAACTTTAGAATTGTAATGAATGTGGATTCTCTTTAAGAACTCACTCCAAAGTGCATTATGTTTAGAATGTGTTTGGTTGCCATGTTGGCAATATATTTTTATTTTTTTTATTATTGTACTTAAAATTTTATTTTTTTTCTTAATATTTTACATACATTCAAAATTTAATTTTTTTATAAATATAGTTTGATATTAATTTTAAATAACTATACTTTTTATTCATTTTTATTATATAAGTTTTATTTTTACAATATGAATATTAATTGTTCCTTGAAAGCAACCACAGTGCCAAACCTCAATTGAACTGTCCAATCTATAGTAAAATATTTTTCCACTTCATAAAAAAATTCACATACCACTATTTATTTTCATTAAAGACATCAGATTAATGCAAAACATCTTCCATTTTTCACAACAAGAACCAAAAAACACATCACAATAAGGTATAACCAAGATTTCAACTCCAACTCTCAGCTACAAACACAAAACAACTATGGTTTGTTTCTTTTGGGATTCGTTTTTTGAGCACAAGATTGGGTTTTGATTCAAATAATGATTTAATTTGATGTCTTGTTTGAAAAATATTATAGATTTGTTGAAAAACACAAAGATTAAATACTAAAAAATGCCCAAAAAGAGCAATTTTTTCACCATAAAACATTGTACCAAATCATTATTTAAACCAAAATACAACTCATTAAAAAAAATAAATAAATAAACTAAAAGTTTTTCATTCTCATCATACATGTATGTATGCATTACATATATATATATATATATATATGGTAGTATCAACCATGGTTGTTCTTATCATATGTACACTAAAAAAAAAAAAACATTGCTCACACTTCTACATCATTTCAAAATTTTCAAGACACTTATATCTATAATTAGTTACATTTCATATTAAGGTTCCAAGATATTACAATGGTTCAGAATTGTTGAAAAAGGATAGTTTAGCTGTCGTGAGGCCGAGACCAACCCTCCTCCATCACAATGAGGTTCAACCGAATTATTAACTTCTCCACGGCCTCTTCCTCCACGTCGTCATCGCTTGAGCCTGAATATTGCGGCTGCATTTAAGAAATTAAAGTTAATTATGCAGGCTAGGTGAGTAAATTGTTGCATATTACATTTATGGCGTGGTAGAATTGAGAAAGAAGGTCTGTCCACCTTTGTATGCTGGTAAAGTTTAAGGAAGTGCAAAGATTCCTCGTAAAATCCACAATGGTAGAGGAGGACAGCATAGTCTCTTAGTTCCTTAGGATCAGTTTTGAGTAAGATAAGGCGCTCGCAAGCTGTGTTCGAATGAGAACAAAAATGCAGAAAAAAGTATTACGTATTATAAGGACTCAACATCATCGCCAAGTAGAACTTTATCATATATTACATTGATTTTTTCGATGATTGAATTGTATAGATTTGCTCAAGAAGACAGTGAGGACATTACTATGTTAGGAGGCAGTGATATGGATCTAAGTACCAATCAAAGTTAATGAAATTATGAATCAATTTAAGTTGTGTATTTTAGCATTTTAGTAAAACAATTCCTTGAAGAAAACACTTTGGTCTATTCTCTAATACAATCCATGAAAATGAATATGTCCCTAATTAGCATATATACCTGCTAGTGCACGCCGTATATCACCAAATCGACTAATTGTCCAAGCACCGGCACCTCTTTGCAGCCTATGACGAGCAGCTTTGGCAGATGCAAGTTCAAAGAGACTGCATCAGACGATGGAGTCGAGTAAAAATTAGTGATGCTTGCGGAGAAGGGACATACTTCACTAGAGATAATTGTTTGATATGAATAGAAACTCCATAATCTCATCAAAGCATGTTGTCACTCTCATGGGATCCTCTATCCCAAAAATAAACCCTATCCCTCTATCCTTACACACATAATGTGTATATATACACGTGTTTGTATGTATAGTGTATATGTACTATACATACGCAACGTGTGTGGATATATACACCTTTTGTGTGTGGAGATAGGAAGATTAGGTATGTTATACATACACACGTGTGTGTATATATACACCCAGGATAGGAGGATAAGGTGTATTAATGGAATAGAAGATCTGGTCTGACTATCACTAGAAATATTTTCTACTATTCCGGGGCAAAAAAAAAAAAGGAAAAAAAAAAGAGCCCCTTAATTTTATATATATATATAATAGTCTTTAATTAATTATTTTATTTTTAAAAGAATTCTGCGTTTGTTTGATTTTACTTTTAAACTATATTTTTATTATTCAATTACTATAATTTTCAATAAAAATTATACTGTTTTCTTATTAAATATCACGTCTACATATTCTTTAAAACATAATTCAAATCAAAACTCAAATTTAAATACAAACCAATCAAACTTTACTATATACTTTTTTAATATTATATGTATATGTTTATAAAATTTGTTTTATGAAAAATTGAGCAGCTGGCCAATTTATTTTACCCATATAAAGCAAACATGAAATTATCTAGATTTAAAATACCTTCTTGAGCTTAATGTACATAAAATATTAAACTTAAAAATAATGCAAACTGTATGTAATTCTTCCAATACCTTTCTTCACACATGCTTCTTTCATAGAATTGCACATGAAACAATATATATATATATATAGTGTAAATCACAATGGTGAAAATTTGAAATATGGACATCCAAATACTATGTAAAATGTCTACCACCTTAACAGATGCAAGGGATAATTTTCAACGACAATGCACATAAGAAAAGGAGACAGAAAGGTTAAGGGAGGAGGCATCATTAAGAAGTGTTGCAATGTTGGAGTTACACATGACTGAATGAATTAAAATTGAAATTATAAAAATTGAAGATCAAAGTAAATTTTTTTTTAATAATTTTTTATATAAAACAATATAGTATAGATAGCTAAAAGTGATTAATGAGAAATAGTACTAGTAAATTAAAAAGTACTTCATTATTCTAAACTCTTGTAAACTCATATAAATTGTAATATAATTATATGTGTAATTTCTCTCTGTTTTTACTCAAAATTTAGGTATTATAACAATGGAACTTTGTCAAAAAGGATTAATGTAACCCCATAATTTTTGTATTATTCACTGTCTTGTGTTGTATCTACCATTTCCCAATATTATATTTCATCTGTAATTCAATAATATTATATCTAAAAGATTCCAAAACTACCTTTCTTTATTGTTATTTTGTCCGATGAGACACTGAGCAGCTTGTGCTGCTCTTAAAAATGGACTTCTTGGACGATCAACTTGAAACGGCCAGAAAGCATTTTTCAAATCTTTCAACATCTGCATCAATACATTTCACAAATAAATTAGTACCCACTAACATATATAAGGAAATGCGTTACAAACAGGATTTATAATTCTAGTTTAAGGCAAATTCTTGAGCCAATTCTAGATTACAATGAAGCATCACCCTCCTAGAAGCTCTATTAAGAAACCTCAATAATTTGTTGAGATGAATTCTATTAAGAATCTAATAATCAAAGAGGAAAGACACATGAAATTGCATTTAACAATTGAGGAAAGATGGCATAATTATTCTGCGGGTACGGGAAAGGTTAGGGTGATGAATTTGAAAAATCAGCACACGTAAAATATAAAAACAACACACGCTTTATTATATACATCATGTATTGTTTGTAATAATAACATGTGTTGTTAGTTCATAATTATAGCGTATGTTGTATGAGAGTATGTCATGTGCTAAAATCAAGTATTATATGTGTTGTGTGAGACTAAATTATGTGTTGTTAAGTCGTGTGTTGTATTTGTATTATATTAAAAGTATATTGTGTACTGTTTATGGTAACACCGTGTGTTGTCTTGAAAATCAGCACAACCGCCCTATTCTACAATTTAGTAAATAATCTTTTTAACATTTTAATTACCTCCACCAATAAAGATTGTGTGGTCATAACATGTAATTGATCAGATTCTGTGCTCTTCTGTTTTTGGTAGCCCTTAGGACAACTATGAGAATCACGAGGGAAGAAGATCTCCACGTCAAAATCTACGACACCCCAAATGCGAAGCACCTTTAGAATCTCCGAGTATATAATTGAGAGCATCGAAACAGAACCTAAACGATGCCTTAAGACCTGTAAAAAAAGAATGCAATTCTCAGGAGCAATGAACAAGAACTCAGTTTAAAACCAATATATAAGATACAAACTGAATTCAGATACAAGGCACGGTGCTTGGTTTGGTCGGCTGTTCTTCGAAATCCCTGAAAAAGGACGAAGGCCGTGATCTAGTTGGGAATCTACAGTGCAGGCAACATCAGCTAAAAACATTTCTTTTGTAGGAAAGTGATAAACTAAGCTACACAAAGATAGAGCATACAAATTATAACTTACTCTATCGACATACAGATATCTATCTAAACACTCGAGAAAAGCCTCGGGGGAGGATCTATATGAAGAACTATAATGGGAGCAATAATCCATAGAAAGGCTATAAAATGTTGGAATAAAATCATGTGTAGGAAGTGGTAGAGAAGAGTGTGAGATAAGAGTAAGAGAGTCATCTTCAGCTGCAATATGAAGAGCTGCTCTACCCAAATCGACCTTTCTATTTACACTTATGCTTGTTTCTCTCTCAATGTCACATAACTTTTGAATCTGCGAGCAAAAACCAGCTCTTGCAGCCTGTTCAAACACACAAATTAATAAATGATGATGTTTCCACAAGAAGAATGTGAAACTAAAACTACAAACAGAATCAAATATAAATAAAAAAAATTAAAAAAAAAAAAAAAAGGATATTAAAAAGGATGCAGGAAATAATTTCCACCAGTGCACCGGGTTATTTGAGCTTCTTCAGCTGTCTCCATAAATGGAGGAAACTTTCTTGCAGCCTGCTCCATTTATTCCTCCAAAAATGGAGGAAACTACAGTTTCCCTCCAACTCAAAATAAAGGAAGACTTTTATATTTTGTATTTTGATCCTTTTATTTTAGATTTTTATCTAATACTCCCTTGGTCCGTCCCGATACAATAGTCTTGTTTACCATTTTTGTCCGTCCCAAAACAATAGTCTTATTTCCATATATAACCATATCACCGTAAAACTACCCCTATTTTTTTTTTATTACACAATTAAAAAAATCTTTTATCCACTACCAATATAATATCAATATTCCTCAAATTTAGTGTACAACCCAATAGGACGTATTTAATTAATACGTATTAATTAAAGACTTAGTTAGGTTTGGGCTTAATTTTTATTTATTTTTAAATTATTATATAATATATAATACTCCCTTCGTCCGGTTTAAGGGTCTCATTTACCTTTTACACTATGCTTAACATTAAAAATATTCTTATATTTTTATAATTTTTTGCACTTATAAAATACTAGTAAAAATATTTTTGTCATTTCCTTGAATTTGTATAACTTTTTCAAATAATAATTAATATTCAAATATCAACACACCCAAAAAAAATAAATGAGACTCTTATAACCGAACGTAAGTAGTATGTAGTATATAAACAAACAATATAAATATTACACAATATAATATTACACATAAATATTACAACACAATTTTTTTTTTAAAAAAAAAAAACTACAAATATTTATAAAGATTAAAAAGCAACTATAATAAATTTATTGGAATATAAATGAAGATGCATATTTAATATAGTGAAAGGTCTTCACATAAATTATTAAAATTATAGTCAAATAGATTAAAATCATAGTCATATTGATGCAAATATGAGGAAGAAGCGGATTGGTGTTGTTCCCAATTCTTTTTGAATTCTCGATCTTTGTAAACTCACATCTTTACTTTTTCATGCTTTTTTTCCGACCTCAAAATTTTTTGATTTTGTTTCTGTATTGTGTTAATAATTTTTAATTTAATAATATTTTTTTAGTCTAATATAGTTTGTTTTTATTTTTTATTTCAGTTCGTACTATATAATTTGTTCTTTCATTTTTTTGTAAATATAATTATACATTTTATTAGCATTTTAAATTTTATAATTCATAATTTTTAAATTTCAATTAAACTATTTATTTACTTTAATCTTAATTTATAACTATATATTTTTATTATATAATAATTATTTTTACTAATATATTTTTTAATAATTTACTAATCATATTTTTATTTAAATTTTCACTAATTATATTTTAATTAAATTATCGTATCTACAGTAGTAATATGGATAATAAAATTGGAATGGAGAAAGTATTTTTAATGCCGTTATTTTCTTAATGTAATTGCGATTCATTATAATCTTTTATTTTATTTATTTGTTTTCAGTCATTACATTTTTCACATAAATAACAATCAAATTAAATAGTATTATTATTATTATTATTTTATTTTAAAAATTATTTAAATGAGAAAATTTTGAATAATTCTTTATGTGAGATATACCGAATCGGGTAGATAATATAAATATAATAAATACGTATAACATATTAATTTTTTAAAAAAAATATGTGTCATAAAAATACTTAGAGAAGACACCATGTATAATTGTTTAAAAATAAGAAATATACGTGAAATATTCGTTTTGTCAGAAAAAAAGAAAAAAAATAAAAAGGAATAGATTAGAGTGAAGTTAAAAATTGTTTGGAGATGGTGTTAGCTGCTTTGAAGAATCAGCTTTGTGGGTTAGTTATGTTTTATTCTGATTTTAATATTTCAATTTATTTTTTTTTTAAATATCAAATCAAACACCTATTATTTATTTATTTATTATATTATAAAAAAGTTTAATTTTACATTCAAAACATCAAAATCAATATATATTTATATCACATCAAATAATTACTTTAATTTAAAATTTTACTATTCAAAATCAAAACCCAAAATTAAAATCTTACAGATAAACACTTGTTGCTTTTTTTTTAGTGTGTTTTGGGAGTTTGATTTGAAATTTGACTTTGTATTTGAATTTTATATAAGAAATTCTTTTTTAATTTGAATAGTTATATAATATCACAAAGATAAATATTAATATATAAAATAAAAAAATACTCTTCCATCTGTCTCTAAGAGAGTTTTGCGTGATTTTACTTAACATTAAAAATATCTTTATATTTATTTATTTATTTTTTACAAATATCCTTCTATTAGTATTATAAGATACTAATATAAATATTATTACAATTTTTTTCTTAATTTGTAATATGTTTTGATATAATAATTAATATTTAAGGGCCAACACGCAAAACATAAATAAGACTCTTATAGTCGGACGAAGACAGTATTTAATTTAGATATATTTTTTTAAAAAAAAATATTAATGAATAATAAAAAATTGGGGATAAAATTAGTGTTCTTACTCCCAATAGTAAAATAATAATAGAGCTAAACCGAAAAATAAAAAAGTTAAAAATAATTAAAGAAATAATAATCCATGCAATTCAATACTCTATGGATAATTGTAAACTCTTATAAACATAATTAATAGTAGTATCTATTTTCGTCTTTCCTATATAATTTGTTCAATGTTTTTTAAAAATTATAATTATATACTTTAATCACATTTTAAAAATTATAATTTATGATTTTTTTATTTTAATTAAACTATTGGATCATCTTAATTTTAATTTAAAATTATTTTTATTAAATTATAATTATTTTTACTTATACATTTTTTAATTACTCACTAATTATACAATTAGTCAGACTACAATTTTACAACATGATCAATCTTATTAAACATCCATGGCGATCGCCATTCCAAAACTGAGTGCAATTCTTAACTGCGCTCCCTTACCATTAATTCTGTGGAAACTAATTAAGTACGTATATCACCATCACAGACACTTGGAAGCTTACGACTACAGTACGCAGGGGCGAAACTATGTGAGGGCTAGAGAGTCAATTGACCCCAGCCCTCAAAATATGTATTTCTTTTATATTAAAAATAATAAAATCATATATTTTAGGGTAAATTGTTTTTTAGTTCCGTAACTGGACCTCTTTATTATTTTAGTTCTATAAATGGAGTCTGTCGTAAACTAGTTTCATAAGTGAAAATTTTCGTTGTTTAGTCCTCCAGCACCGAAGATGCCCGCGTGCTTCGCCGGAGGTGACGTGTCCGCCAGGTGTCCCGCCAGGTCAGCGACACCTGGCGAACACGTGGATTTTTTTTTTTAATTTTTTTTAATTAGATCAAATAAAAAAATACAAATAAATTAAAATAAGTTTTTAAAAAAAATAAAAAATCAACGTGTCCGCCACGTCAGCGACCTCTGGCGAGCCACGCTGGCATCTCCGGCGCCGGAGGACTAAAACAGTGAAAATTTTTCACTAATGAGACTAATTTGCGACACTCCACTTAAGACACTAAAATGATAAAGGGTCTAGTTACGGGCTTAAAAAAGCAGTTTATCATATATTTTATACAGTAAATTGTCCCTTTTAATTTTTTATTTTATAATGTAAAAAATTATAAATTATATTTTTAATTTCTAAATTTTATTTTTTATAGTAAAAAAATATTAAATCTTATGTAATTTTTTCTAAAATAATTAAAATTTTCAATTTTTTTTTTTAATTTTTGTCAAAATGTACCATGAATAAAAAATAACCACGTTGAATCGATAAAAAAAAATCTATTTTGTCCACCAACTTTTACTGCTGATTCCGTCGTCACTGACAGTGCGACTAACAAAATTAAAGCTACTAAAAATTCATTTAATTAAGAAAGATGATAGATCTAATTCACAAACTGAAAATTCATACCCTTGCGTGAGTGGTATCTATTCCAGATGCATCCAGAGCATCGTGAAGCACAAAATTCCGCTCATCCACGCCTGATAATTGGTACTTACACCTGCAACTCAAAGGCTGCTGCTGATAGTAATTTGGAGACGACGATGAAGATGAAGGTGAAGATGATGTAGACGACAAATTAATGGAGAAGGTTTTGGGGGAAATGAAGGCGGAAGTCATGGGTGAAGAAGGAACCCAGACACACAAAACACACAGAATAATTATATACAGGAGAAAGTAGAGATAGGCAGGCTTGGCACGGGAATAAATTACATCTTAAAATAAATAAATAAATAAATATATAAAAAAAATTATATTTTAATAAATACTTATAATATTTGTTCACGTCTAAGGATCTCTCTCAAATCCCAATTTTGGCCGTTTATACAAGTAACGGACGGACTTCAAATAAGAACTGGATAAATATACTTTTTGTTGTAAAAGAAAGGTCCACATCATATGTCGATGTGTGTGCGACGTGGCATGATTGAAAACCATAGAGTCAATGTCTCTACTATAAATATATATTAGTGGGAAATGCACGGTATTTTTATATATATATTTTTTTGTTCATTAAAATTTTTTTTTTTTATTTTTTTTTATGTTTTCGTTAAATTTTTATTAAAAAAATATTTATTATTTTTTTAAAAAAAATTAAAAAATTATAATTTACTTAATTAGTATTTACGTAATTAATATATATATGTGTATAATAGTAAATTTATTTTTTAAATTCAAATTTATTATTTAATTTTAAATTGAATAGACAAATATTCTATATATATACACGTCATAGTATTGAATTCTTAATAATTTTATCAAGTTTTATATTTATAAAATATTTATTGATTATGTTAATTATAGTTTGTTAAATATATTAGTTATGGTATATTAATTATGGATATTTAATATAAATTTATTTTAATAAAAATATCAAAAATAAAGAATAAAATAAAATCGTATAGATTTATTGAAAATTTATATATATATACACAAATATATTTGAATAAAATTATCATAACTCCATTAAATCATCAATATTTATATTTTTATTTAAAATAAATAAAAAATTTTCATTTAAATGAAAAAAAATATGAATAATATAATACATACATTATAAATAAAAATAAATCAATTTTATTGTAATGTTATTATTAAATAGAAATTAATATAAAAATTATTTAAAGAGCAAATAAAAGAAAATATATCAATAATATACAAACAAAAAAAAGTTATATTATAAAATTATTTATACAAAGTACAAAACAATAACAAAATAAAATATTAAATAAATTATACTTTAAACTATTGTATCATCTTTGGATCAGATACAATCTCAATATTTTGAAACTCCAATGAACTAAAACGAAGGAAAAAAGCTGTATTTGGTGGCTTAAAATAGAGAAACATTGTCGAAAAATTGAGAAAAAATTCACAGGGAAGATATTTTCAAAAAATAAGAGAGTTACAGAACAAATGAGATTAAAGTGTAACTGAAATGGATAAGAAACTGATCTTGTTGTGTGGGGGCAATCTGCATAACACAAAAATATAATTAATATTGCAAATAAAAATAAATCTATTTTTAATTTTAATTTTATTATTAAATGTAAACTAATATATGAATTACTTAAAAATAAATAATACAAAAATATATGTAAACACAAAATTATATGAAATTATTTATATACAGTACAAAATAAAAATAAAATAAAATAGTATAAGTAAATTATACGTTAATACGACGCATCATCTTCACATTTGGTGATGTCACAATATTTTGGAACTTCGATTATTAAAATGCAGAGAAAAAAACAACTATATTGGGTGGAAAAGGAAAATAAAAACGTTATTTAAATATTAACCGGAAACTCGCCGAAAAAATATTACCGAAAAAATGAAGAAAATTGAGAGGATGAAAGGATGAGAAGTTGATGTGTGATTGAAATGGGATGAAGATATGGTCATTTATAGACATTCAAATGAGGGTTGTCATCAAATTCATCATTAATGCCGACGTTAATTTATCGTAATTGACGTTTTTAATATTTGGTCAGAATTAATTTTGCTCATAATAAATTTAATTATATTTAATAAAATTTTATTATTTAAAAAAATATGTGTTAATTGCAAATATAATTATAATTAATCTGCATGTTTAAAATATTTTTCTCAAAATTAGTTATTAAATTAATAAAAGTTGAAAAATTTAAAAATTATTTATTATGAATATAATTAACATTAATTATATATTTTGATTAGAATATTACATTAGTTTTAAATTTATTAAAAATTTTCAAAATTTTAGAAATAATAGTAATTCATTGTTGATATCATTAATAGTATTATTATTATTATTATTATTATTATTATTATTAATAAGTATATAGTTATGGTATATTAATCATAAATATTTAATTTAATAGTATAAAATTTTTTTTATTAAAAAACTAATAACGAGAAATAAAAATGGTATGAATTAGATTTTTTCTTTATATAGATAATAGATAAAAATAAATAAAAATAAATGAGGACTTCAAATATTATGAAATAAAATCAATTATTTAATTTTAAAATGAAAAAAATATTCTATATATATATTATATTATATTATCAAATTATATATATTGATTGTGAATGTTTAATACTCCCTCCTTCTAGTTAGAAAGTATATATAGTTTTATTTTGGGACGTCCAATTACAAAGTAAATATTTTATTAAATACCTTACTTTTTTCCACAAATACTCTTACTTTACATCACATCATTACTTTTACACCAAACAGCAACGACAAAAATGTCATTACACTACTTTTAACTACCCACTATAATTAAAATACTATTATTTCTTAAACACCGCGCTAAAAGTAATTGTATACTTTATTAGTGGACAGAGGGAGTATAAATTTAGTTTTTAAAAAATAAAAATAGAAATAAACAATAAATTGATATGAGATCCATTTATCATACATATAATTACATATATTTTTAAATTATCATGATTAATTGTAATTTTATAAATTATATCAATTATAACTATATCAATTAATAAAATTATTTAATATCAATTATAATGAAAATTTTGAAAAATTTCATTATCCATTATTTACGGGTATAAATAAAAATTACGTAAATATCAAATTAATTTTAAATTTTTTTAAGAATTAAAAAATAAGACAAAAAAGATTTGGTGGGGTGGACCCAACGCCGATCTCTTTTATATATATTTACTCTAATCATAAATTAAATCAATTATTTTATTATATTTAAAAATATATTAATTATAATTTTATTAATCATGATATACTTAATAGCATTTAATACATATTTATTTTATTAAAAATCAAAAAAATTGACAAAAAAGATTTGGTGGGATAAACCCCACACCGATCTCTTTTATATATAACTAGTGTGTAAACCCGTGCGATGCACGGTTTGTATAAATTATTAAAATAATATTAAACAAATGATTAATTATATTGGCAAATATTTTATAGAATGATACAAATATTTTAAAGACTTCAACAATTCATATTAAATTTACCATACGGCGAATTCTTCTTATTGTATCAATGAAGATATAATATATAAACACAATCCATAAAAGTGTCAATAAACTATCGTACTAATTATATATTATTTCATATTATATATTTAAAGATATATTAGTATACTAAAATAATTAACAATGAAATAATATATATGTATATTTATACGTGTAAAATATGTCTTATTTTGTAAATTTTTGAAATAGAATACTTGACATCGAAAGATAAATTGAAATTATTTGTGTGACAATTTTAAATTCATACTTACGGTATCGTCTTTTATTGTCTAATTAACTTTATATCTACACTAAAGATTGTATATAAAATATAACTACAATATCTACATTTTTGAGAATATGTGTTTCAACAAAAAAAAAAAAAAAATTAAAAATAAACTTTAAAAAATTTTAAAAGTATATATATCTACTAACACTATAAATAAATAAAAACTGTAAAAATTATATAGATTTTAAATACCCTACTATCATGATAAAAAACTATAAAATAAAAAATCAGAAAAATCTCAAAAATGTCAGAACGGATGAATTAGGACTGATCTCAAATATATAATATATAGACTAGTGTGTAAACCCGTGCGATGCACAGTTTGTATAAATTGTTAAAATAATATTAAACAAATAATTAATTATATTGACAAATATTTTATAGAATGATACAAATATTTTTAAGACTTCAACAATTCATATTAAATTTACGAAGTGACGAATTCTTCTTATTGTATCAATGAAGATATAATTAGTAGTATACATATATAAACACAATCTATAAAAATATTAATAAACTATCGTACTAATTATATATCATTTCCTATCATATATTTAAAAAATATATTAGTATGCTAAAATAATTAATATATATATTTATTTATGCTTGTAAAATATGTCTTATTTTGTAAATTTTTTAAATAGAACAGTTGACATCTAAAAATAAATTGAAATTGTTTGTGTGATAATTTTAAATTCATACTTACGGTATAGTTTTTTATTGTCTAATTAGCCTTATATCTACACTAAAGATTGTATATAAAATATAACTAAAATATCTACATATTTGAGAATATGTGTTTCAACAAAAAAAAAAAATTAAAAATAAACTTTATAAAATTTAAAAAGTGTATATATATATACATCTACTAACACTATAAAAAAAAACTGTAAAAATTATATAGATTTTAAATACCCTACTATCATGATAAAACACTGTAAAACAAAAAGAAATAAAAAATCTCAAAAATGTCAGAATGGAGGAATTAGAAACTGATCTCAAATATATAATATATAGATAGATCATGATAAAAAAAAAAAAAAAAAAACTGTAAAACAAAAAAAAAAATAAAAAATCAGAAAAATCTCAAAAATTGTCAAAATGAAGTAATTAGGGACTGATCTTAAATATATAATATATAAAATATAGATTACGGGTATAAATAGACAAAATTATAACTTACTTTAATCATAAAATTAAATCAATTATTTTATTATATTTAAAAATGTATTAATTATAATTTTATTAATTATGATATATTTAATGACATTTAATATATATTTATTTTATAAAATAAATCAAAAATAAAAAAAAATCAAAAAACCGATCTCTCTTTTATATATATAGACTATATACTAGCGGAATACCCGTCCTACGAAAAAAATTATAATCATATTTTTTTGTTTAATAGTAATTTTTTATATATTATATATATTTTTTTAA